GCTGTAGGAGAGTACACTAGCACCGTGTCCTCAGAGAGATTACTTATTATTTATCAGCGTGAGGAACTTATTTCTATTTCTACCTTATTTATAAACTATTTATTTACAGGTCCATCAGTTAATGTAATAATTGTCCCAACCACAGCTGCACCCCCCAAACCGGTCTCACAGCAATCGGGGCAAGCTGCACGTGTGTTTAGCGCGCCGCACTCGCACATTTAGCCGTTTTTAGCTGCTCAGGCGCCCGCAGGTGCGGTGTGTGTGTCACTCACTCTGGTTAATCCAACAAGGAGCCGGCTCTGAGAGCTGTTTCTTTAGCGACTGACACATCACTACATCATTCCCTTTCCTAATGTCCTGAAGAGCGGTCCGGAGCGCAGGCGGAGTGTTTAGCTAACCTGCAGGAAATGTCGACGACAGTTATCCAGAAAGTAGCTAAGGGTTACCAGAGATGTTTCTGAGGTGTTCGCTAGGTACTTTTAAGATTTAAAAAGTCAAGAAGGGGGTCTGAAAAGCCGCTAGAAATAGCGTCAAAGTCACTAAGTTGGCAACACTGTGGGAGGAGCGCTTCATTTGCAACTCAGGGCAGCGCAAGCAGGAGGAGCAAATTATCGGCTTGTTTTGTTTTTATAATCGTTCAAAACTCAGATCGTAATCGTGATTAAAATTCGATTAATTGAGCAGCCCTAGCTTAAAGTATCTCTCCAGACGTTTCCCCTTTCAGAAATTATGTATGATTCGTCAGAAATCCGTAAAAGTGATAGTCTCATCATGAAACAATGTCTTTTTTTTTTGTGCTAAGCACGCCCTCTGTCCCACAGAGCTCAGTGCAATAGGAAACTGAGCGCCGGCCAGAAGTAACCAATAGCGTTAGACTACTGCTTTCATGCTTCAAATTTAAGGAATACCTCGGCTGATGCAGAGTTGATTAACCTTTCACGAACAAGTAAGTCTCTAAAATCTAGATTTATGAAAACAACATGACATGAGAATAATACTTGTAGAACAACGTGTTTTAGCTCTGTTTGTCGGCTACAGAAGCACATTTATAAACAAGAAACGTGAAGTCGCCATCTTAAAAAAACTGAGCGACAGACTTTTTGTGTGATATGCTTGTCAGCCACTAGATGGTGCTATTGGATAAGAGAAATACTCTGGAAAGAGATTTTAAGTGAGTTAGACAATAGATTACTTAACACAGATTTAACGAAAATTCAGTCCACATACTGTATTTACCCAGTGTTATTGTAGCTAAACTGTAAAATCCATTTTATAGGTATTTTATGTATTCTTAGAACACTATTCATGCATCGTTTTTCTGTATGCTTTATAGCTACAGCAGTCAAGATCCATATCTGTCATGTCAGTCAATATTTTAAAGTAATACCACTAATTTGATTAATTTGATAAACATCTTAACGAAAGCAGCTGCAACCCCTATAACTCTGTATATAAAACATCCATTAAGTAAAATTGATGGGTTGCTGCAAAGATCAGCAGAATATTCGAGTAGAACAGACAGATGCAGGCCGGGCCTGACTGACAGCTCCACCATAGCTGACAAAAGCCTTCTGCCTCCAGAGACCCGTGAGCCCTTTAACATGTGCTGCCAGGCAGCGAGGACGCCTGTCCCCGTCTCTCTCGGCTGGATGGCTGCTTGATCGGAGACTGCTGCTTTAGAAGCAGCAAATGTGGCTCGCCTCGCTCACATCCTCCCGCTGACTAAATCTGCAGCCGCGCTCGGCCTCATCTTTCTGATGGCCTTCGGTCGCTAAATGTACCGCTGCTTTCCCTTTAATGGACTGAACTCTAGCTGCTCAAAAGCTCAACAAACATTAAACTAACGAAGACAGCGATGAAACCATGACTTCATAAATCTTCTCATCAGGACAGGTATCTCCTGCGGACCTTGTTCATATCAATTTTCCACCCTCTTCGGGAAAATGCACCCTCCCCACTGAGCATCAGCATAAACACTCACGCCGACCTGATGCATGCTGCATTTTAATTACTACATAAAGGTCTCAGCCTGCGTTGAGCCTGAAAAAGACTCAAAAACATTTACAGCCCAACCTGTCCCTGAGCCAGGGAGGAAAAAGAAGCTGCATGAAGGCAGGAGGCTCAGGTGGGTGGAATACAGAGACGCACCAGAGAATATGGAAATCCTTTAAGAGCATCAGTCTCAGTGTGGAGTTACAGCAACAAAGAACACTTTATAATACACTAACAAGAACTCTATCCGCTATTTTGGTGCAGGCAGAAAATAAGTCAATAACCACCTGATTTGGATTATTACTAGATTTCAGACCTATCACTTATCCAGGTGCATTAGGCTGAGCAGAACAACAGTGGCCTCGGGGCAAGAGACTGACGGCCCACAACTACCTCAGGTAACTAAGAGTCTACTACTGATGGAGAGTGATGCAAGACATTGTGGTAGTACATGTACTAGTATGTAGTATTATGGCTAGAACCCTTTTTACACACTTCCACTTTTAGACTTAAACATGAAATCTTATTGAGTTTGAGAAAAAAGACTCCTTTGGTGACCGCTCTTAAGAATTTAAAAACAGGGCTGGATCAGGAACAGGAGGTTCCCAGATTTAACATGAAAAGGTTTAGAACCATGTTGGTTAGATGCAGAAAACTACTGACCAACTCTAGAACGTTAAACTAAACCTCACAGGGCTGAGTGTGTTAGTACAATTAAGTCCCAAAGTGTTTCGTCTCAATTTGTTTCCTAATGAACCCGCGTTTCATTCTAAACTTGGTCATCAACCCCTCCCAATGTTATCTCACATTTCCTTATAGCCAAGAACCCTACACAAACCATAGCAGTAGCAAAATATTGTTCTCCTCAGGTGAGTCTACCCAAGCTCCACTAGCCTCAGCAGGTCTACACGGCCTTTCCCAACAGCACTACTCAGCGTGACTTGTGTCGAGCACTACTCAGCGTGACTTGTGTCGAGCACTACTCAGCGTGACTTGTGTCGGTGCAGTTCAGTCTGGCCGCCTTTTCTAATAGCACGGTTCGGTATTTTCCCCTTACTCCGCCTTTTCTTTTCAGCCCAATTCCTCGTGGTTCCTTGCCTGACCTGGGCTAGTATCGCGACTGTCGCCTGCTGACTTGCTAGTGGGTGGAGTCACTGGTTGCTCTGGAGCTGTCTGACTGCTGCCTCACTGCCTGACAAAAAGCCATAAAGATGAACAGAATGTCCAAGATCAGCATCACTGTTGTGTTGAGCTGTGTTTCTGTGTAGCAAACAGTTCACTTCACACTGTTTACTAGTCACCTATCTTTGTCTCGAGTAAAAATGAACCCCCGCAAGTGCCGCGAACCCTTTTCTTTTTCTTTGAAACATGAGCAGATAGTCTTTTATTTTGAAAAAGGATGTATTTGCTTCTTCTTCAACAGTGTATGGCGGACAGCCCCACTGACTGATTGAGGTTGTTCCTTGCTCTGGTCCTAGTGATGTCCAACTGCCAGCAGAGACAGTTTGAAAGACACCCATAGATCCTGCCCCATGACTGGGTGGTTTCACAGGCTCGTGACCAGACTAGGGTGACTTGCCAGGCTAATTTACCGAGGTTCTGACTCAAAAACTGAAGAATAAAAGCTGAAAGTGTTTGACATGAGCTGAGGATGTGCTGCGCAACAGCTCTGCAGGAATTTTAAAAGCATTTTTTGTTCAGCTGGGATCAGTTCTGATTCACAGAGAACTGGTTTCACATTTTTACTTTTAATAACTTAAAAATCTTTTAAACAATAATTTTTCCAAAACAGTGTTTGTCTCACATGGAGGCCCAGCTAATCCCAAACAGCAGTTTGAGACCAAACAAAAGCTCAGAAGATTAAAAATAAAACAATTCTGTTACCCAATTTGCTTTGTGATGCTGCTGCTTCAGAATAACGGTTATGACCTGCCGACCAAATGGAGCCATCCTGATCCAAATTTGAAAACTTCATCTGCACCTGCAGTAGCTTTCCACAGGTGAATAGCCCCACCTGCTCTAACCCTGGAGATAAGAATCGTAACCCTCTGGAGGCAGGCGTTGCAGATTTGCATCGTTAAAACCTACCTACCTGGTTACTCCACATACGTATTTTATGAGCATTTTTAAACTCAGAAGTACCCCCGAAGGACTCAGTTGTTCGTCCTTTAGTCAAAACTTATTTTGAGCCTGCGAGGGTTAAACTGGAGGCCCTTTTCCCTGAACACTTCTCAAGCTGTACTTTCACCTCGGAGCAGGCAACAGAAACATCTACAACACCAAATCGGTGTGTTTGTGAAGATGCTGACAAGATGCAACCAGTGTGCTGAAAGGGCTCAAACACAATAAAAGCATGTCTCCGTTACCCATCTAGTCTGCTACTGAGTTCAGCTTTAGCCTTTCCTAAAATAATCCACTCAGCTTTTCTACTTATTAACACAACCCCCCAAAATAATGAGCTTAAGTGAACAAGAGGACGCATGGACATGAGCGTAGGAAATGTGAGAGGGCGTAAAACATTTTTTTAAATTCCCTTTTTATTAGTATGCAAGAAGATACTTTTTGCTTATGAAGCAATGAAACCTGCAGGCTTTTTAAGAGCCCTCCGAGTGTCTGCAGATGCTTGCAAGGATCTGTAGCGGTGCTGCAGCTGCATAAGCAATCATCTGTTTTTGGACGAGCGAATACGATTGGGCTGCTCCAGCACAACAGGGTTAAAAATACCGATCGTCAGGGGACTCGCAGCGCTCCTGATGTTTTTCAGTTCAAAGTTGTCTGTTTTTAATATTAGAGCTGCTTAAAACTGCCTCCTTGATTTACACAGACACACAAATAAATTGGTGTTTCTTGTGAATTCACTTGTCTTCTTTCTTCTTGGAGTTCATGTCTTTGATCCAATAATTATTTCAGTTTCAGTTTCAAAGGGAAGGCTTGCTCTCCAGTGAGGTGGATCACGGCAGACAACTTTTTACCACTAAAGACAAAAACATCATTCTTTCTGCACTTACCTGATATGTGTTGTCGAAGCTGTCATACATGAACCGTGTGATCAGAGATGTCTTTCCAACTGCAAGACAAGAAAAGACAGACTGCATTAAAAGAAAGATTGCGTTCAGGCATGCAGTAACCCTCACGATGGACCTGGTGGCTCTAGTTTCTGTGATGGCTGTCACTGCTGCTGACAGGAAGCTCACTAGAGTTGAGAAGATGAGCAAGGAGGTCAACGCAGCAACTCCAGATGTAAACTACAGCTCAAAAGTTTGGGATCCTGGGATTACTAAGAATTTATTACTTTTTGGCTTTCAAAAAGTACCTCTCCTGATAATAACTTTTTGCTTTCCTTGACGTTGGATGTGCTACTGCTAGTTTATCCGTTTAATTATAGATCTACTAGGATAAATACAATAAAGTTTATCTCACCAAATAGAATATTTACTAAGAAATCACAATGTAACTATAGACACATTACTTTGTTGTTGTGTGTGTGTGTTTGTGGCTTCAGTTGAGGTATTATTTAAGCCTTCCCAATGTTAATCAGCTGCTCCCGATTGTAAACCAGCGTGTTTCCATGGTTACGCATCATAACAAATGCTCAAAAAGTGAAAAAATAGCAGTAAAGATCCTCCAAGCTTCGCAGCACCAGAAACAGAAAAGTAAAATGTCCAAAAAAAAATACCGTTCCTCTCGAAAAACTAGAAGAAAAAATGTCCGAGTAAAGGCAAAACTTACATATAGTCAACAGATCTACTCCAACATGCAGCCACCCAGAGCAGCGCAGTTCCGGAAACCAAGCCAACCACATTATTGCGAATGCTTAGTTCAGTCTCACCAGCCACACCCAGACCTGAAAACTGCCAGAGCAGAAGAATAAAGAACTCACTTCAATCGTTCTAAAGAAATTCAAGAACAAAAGAACCTAGAACAGCAATAAAATACCACAAAGGCTAGCTCTTGTTAGCCAGAAAAGATAAACAATTATATTTACAAGGAACTCCTCGTGGCTTCATGTCAATCAAAGCAATAAATATTACAAGCCACATTCATCTATTAACACGCAACCCTGACTTTACAGTTTAAAGAGCTATGCCTTGCCCAAAGGCCTTGATATTGGGAAAGCTGGGATTGAACCACCAATAGGGATGTAAGAAAATATCGATATGGCAATATATCGTGATATTTTTCCCAGCAATATTATACCAATATTCAAAAGCCGTGTATCGGAAATATCGATATGGCAATATATCGTGATATTTTTCCCAGCAATATTATACCAATATTCAAAAGCCGTGTATCGGAAATATCGATATGGCAATATATCGTGATATTTTTTCCTGCGATTATTACATCGATATTCAAAAGCCGTGTATCTAATTCCTGAAAGAATTTACATGCAAACATTTGTGTATTTTCTTTTCGTTTTGCGCAATCCAATCGCCACCCGCTAGTTGGCAGCAGTGTGCAGTGGGTTTTGTTTCCACACACTGAAATGTAAATCCCTCCATCATGGTTCAGATACCTCATGTTAAACATGTTACGTATCAGTTTGGACTGTTTATTGAACATTCTTACAATAAATTCAGTAAAAATAAATTGCTTGTAACGTCTGACTGAATGTATCGCAATATATTGTGATATATCGTATCGTCTCCCCTGTATCGTGATGTGTATCGTATCACCAGAATTTCAAAAATACACATCCCTAACCACCAACTTACTGATAAGCCGGCAACTGCTCCACCCACTGAGCCACAGCTGCCCCACAGCACCTGGATGGTTCCTAGATTTTTGGAAAACATTCTGTTGACAAATAAAATGAAAGTGGAACCTCTAGGAAGGAGGGAGTATTTGTGCCGGCCATCTTTGCCTGGCAGTAACATTTATTTACTGAAAAAAAAGCAAAGAACAGACAAAATCTGTTGGGAAAAAGTATTCAACATTTGCAGAAGCTCAGGAGGTACAGCGGGCTGTCCAGTAATCGGAAGGTTGCAGGTTTGATCACGGCTCTGACCAGAGAAAGCTGCTGTTGTGTCCTTGGGCAAGACACTTAACACGCCTTGACTGCTGGTGGTGGTATGAGGGACTGATGATGCCCGTGTTCGGCAGGCCTCACCTCTGTCAGTGCTCCCCAGGGCAGCTGTGGCTACATCGTAGCTCATCTCCACCAGTGTGTGAATGACTGATTGTGTTGTGAAGCGCCTTGGGGGGGTTATAGAATCCTAAGAAGGCGCTACACAAATACAGGCCGTTTTAAATGCTTTTTAAGCACTTTGGGTCAGGCTAACCTAAAGTTTTTAACTTCAGCAGAAGGAAAAGTGTTTTTTATAAACCAGTCTTGTTATATCCTCATTCAGACGTTCCTTCATTAAATCAACAGGAATCCAGATAAACTGGTGCATTCAATAGAACGTATGAGGAAACAAGAGCCGTGTTCAAATTTCAAGCAGGTGTTTTAGGACTTTCTCTAGAAAGTGAAAGTTTTGTTTTGAGATTGCTCTTAATTTTATTTCTGCTAGGATAAGGTGAACACCGATTTAACAGATGTCTGAACAATTCTTTCTACAAAGCACTGCAACAAATAATAAGATTGGTGGTTTGAATTGCTTTTGTAAGGAACAATGTGCCTAAATCTGAAAGTGTAAACATTAGGATGCAGTGTTTTATTTGATGTCCTCTGTGCTGAGTCATACTCTTTGAGCACTAAGCAACGTGAGTCAGCACTCTATGCCTCTCAGCTACAGCTGAAAGCTTCAGAAACTGGGACAGACAGCACGTCCTCATCCCCTCCTAAAATAATAAAGGAGAGAGGAACAAAAAACTACAGACAAACTCCTCCCCAGAGAAAAATGATTTACCAAAGAAATCTTTCATTCAAATAAGTAAACAGAATATAAACTTTAAATAACATACGTCACTCTGAGTCTGAATTGCTTCCCCTCTAGTAAAAGATGCACTGAGTGTAATTAAAATCTGTGTCAACATATTTAAATGCAACATCCACATTTCTTTGACACTAATTTAAGATTTGGAGGAAAACACTTTGCAGGTATTACTGCAGTAAATTAGTCAAATGTCTTTTGGCATCGTGTAAAAACGGATTTTAATTCCACTGTAGAAGTTCAGCACATTTCTTCCTGTTCATTACATCTAAACACGGCATTGGAGGTTATAAAAGAAAACAAACGAGTCAGACATAAAAATAAAGTCCAAAGCAGCTGCAGCAATACTACTGCAACAACCTTTTTATTTTATTTTATTTTATACTGGCTGTAATACAGGTGTGTTCTCATGAGGGAGTGAAACTGCAGAAGGAAATGTAGCTTAATGAATTTCAAAGGGAGAAGAAAATATAGAACAAGCAGAAGTTCAGTTGCACGCTGCAGGGTCTGTCATGAACAAACCTAAGGTAGAACAAATCAACAGATTTAGGATATGTTCAATTGTTCAAACCATTAAACATTTCCCAAATATACCCTGATTTATTACAGTTGGCTGGGGTGCATGGGTGTCATTTGTTAAGCTGCTTCATAGGATGTTTGAAGCTTTTAAACCATTTGAATCTGGCACATTGGGCTGGTTTGACTTTAAACTCTTTAAAAAACACTTTAAACTAAATTGAGTAAATGAAGACTTGACGATTAACCAGTAGCTGACTGATCTCCAAGCTGCTGTGCTTAACTCAACTTCATCAGTGTCAGAGCCAGTGGTGGCTGGTAAACATTTTTTGGGTGGGACGCATTTTTGCAAGTCAGTTTTCAGATGGACTAACTGTGTACCACCACTAGGGGGTGCCAAATTACAATTCTTATTAGGGCTGCACAATATATCGAAAAATTATCGTCACTGCGATAACAGGACGTGCGATAGGCCCATCGCAAAGCACGTCAAAAACGGTGATAAATGTTTGGTTCAAACATTTCCATCCGTGTCATACATCAGCTTTTTGTAAATCAGCTCTGTTTTTTACACAGAAGTATTATTTGACCAATCAAATGTAGCCCTTCTGATATGCGGCCAATCAGATGGGTCCGTTCACGTAATACGCCCGCCCCCTACGTAGACCCGTACCCCAAAATTCCACCATCTTCTCCGCTCCGCCCCCGCTTTCCGCTGCCGCTCGCTTCCCTTGTTCGTCATGCTGGCTCAGATTAACGAACGCACTTTGTGCTGAGGTTTCTGGAATCAGCGCTGCTTTCAAACGTGAACGTGAGTCCGCTCGGTGTCGTTAAGCAGCTGATAATAACCGGGCTGACTCCGACACGTGCCGGTGAACCAACCCACCTACCTCCATGTCGCTAGTGTTCCACCGGGTGGTGACGTTAGCCCCAGGCTCCGGTTAGCTTCCAGCTAAAAGGCTACAGCACTCTCCTCCCAGTGCCACCCTGCTAAAGAGGGCCTGGAAAAGTTCCCCCACACATCAAAGTGATTTTTCATTTATGAGCTTTTATAACCTTGTTAATCAGGATAGTTGATTTGCTGCTGCACATAAACTGTCAGTCAGAAGCTCTGCTAGCCGCTTATCTTAGAGGAGCTAGTTCAATTTGTTAGCTTGTTATCAGAATCATAGTTGCAGTTTCATCATCTGAGCTGCTTTTTAAGATCTAGGTAAACTTGTTCAATTTGGGGTTAAAAACAAACGTTTTCACATATTTTCCATGTAGTTTTTTTTTTTGCCAGTTCCTCTTCTGAAAGGTAGACAATTGTTTTTCTCTTTCCCTCAGAAAATCTTAATATTCTCCTAGTTTGGCCCAGCACAGTTCACTTCCCAATTACAGCAAAAGCCTTATATCATAACCACATAAGTGGAGAAAATGTTCAGCAGCAATGAGAGAATTTGCTGTTGCCTTTAAGTGATGTTAACTATTATTTAATATTTAAACTTATTTTCAGATATTTTTATTTATTCAAAAACCCTGGTAAGGGATGTTTTTCTGTATTTGGAGCATCAGAAAAAGTTTTATGGTGGAGGTGATGTTTTAAAGTCACTGAGAAACTGCATGCATGCAGTTTGTTGTTTTGCTGCTAATACAGTAGCAGGTGCAGCTGCTAATACAGTAGCAGGTGCAGCTGCTAATACAGTAGCGGGTGCAGCTGTTAATACAGTAGCGGGTGCAGCTGCTAATACAGTAGCAGGTGTAGCTGCTAATACAGTAGCAGGTGCAGCTGCTAATACAGTAGCAGGTGCAGCTGCTAATACAGTAGCAGGTGTAGCTGCTAATACAGTAGCAGGTGCAGCTGCTAATACAGTAGCGGGTGCAGCTGCTAATACAGTAGCGGGTGCAGCTGTTAATACAGCAGCGGGTGCAGCTGCTAATACAGTAGCAGGTGTAGCTGCTAATACAGTAGCAGGTGCAGCTACTAATACAGTAGCAGGTGCAGCTGCTAATACAGTAGCAGGTGTAGCTGCTAATACAGTAGCAGGTGCAGCTGCTAATACAGTAGTAGGTGCAGCTGCTAATACAGTAGCAGGTGCAGCTGCTAATACAGTAGCGGGTGCAGCTGCTAATACAGTAGCGGGTGCAGCTGTTAATACAGTAGCGGGAGCAGCTGCTAATACAGTAGCAGGTGTAGCTGCTAATACAGTAGCAGGTGTAGCTGCTAATACAGTAGCAGGTGTAGGTGCTAATACAGTAGCAGGTGCAGCTGTTAATACAGTAGCAGGTGTAGCTGCTAATACAGTAGCGGGTGCAGCTGCTAATACAGTAGCGGGTGCAGCTGCTAATACAGTAGCGGGTGCAGCTGCTAATACAGTAGCGGGTGCAGCTGTTAATACAGTAGCGGGAGCAGCTGCTAATACAGTAGCAGGTGTAGCTGCTAATACAGTAGCAGGTGTAGGTGCTAATACAGTAGCAGG